CATTGGAACAAATATTGTAAATTCTTGATCACAGGAAGACTTAATCACCTCAAAAATACTTCAATGAAGTTTCAAATTTATCTTTCTATTAATTCCTCCTATGTTGTATCTTCCCTTCTTATAACCCAGCTGGACACCAATTAAAGTTGTGCAAATAATCATCTTCCAGTAGACAAAAATCTTCAAGAAATATGTTCTGGCTTTTATCTTAAAGATAAGAAAGAATTTATTTGGGAAAAAAATGGAGTTCTTAATGAAAGACTTCTGGGAAAAATAAAGAAGGAAAAGCTAAATGATTTTACAATGTCATTAATTAATTCAAGTTTATGAAACTGGCTTCAGGGTTTTCCCTGTAAAAATACCATCAAACTTTTCTTAGAAACATCATGCTTCCTTAACACTGTTTTCTTAAGATAGTTTTGTTTTCTTAACACTATTTTCTTCCTCTTATGTCTCTGATGAAAAAATACCATCACTGGAAATGAAATATTAAAATGCTCATAAGAAAACCATACATGATTTGACACTGGAAAGTAGTAGTTCCTACATGGCAATTATTTCTAGTAAAGTGATATATTCGGTACTGACACTGATCTGTTTCCTTAGAATGTTGTTCCTGTTTGAAAAAAGCAGGGTGGGATAGCACAAATGCTCTCATTGTAACAGCTGTTCAAATTAATGTTATAGACATGGAAATAGTCTCTAGGCAGAAGTTTGACTATAATTCTGTTTTCACACTGCATAAACCATTTTGACTTTCACCATATTCCCATGCTTCCTGAGTGCAGTTGATTTCATGCTTAACAATGCAGAACAGCTTCAAAATCCAACTATCTGAATAAATTCCCTCAAGTACTTTGAACTGAACCCCTGACCTGGAGCTACTGATGTTACTATTCCTTGGTTTAAGTGGTTGAACAAGAAGGACCAGCAATCCTCTCTACTGGAATCTCATCTCACAGACCTTGCATGACTTTGAAAACCTCTTTCTTTTTATTTTCTTAATTTTTTAAAATTTTCTCCTGAAAACGGCACATTACAAGCAGAATTTGGGGTCTTCTATAGGTCAAAGGCTCCTTACATGATCCTTGAAAACAGATCTCTTAAAATACTGGCCCTACTTTCCAGTAATGACACTTGGAAACATGCTGCTCTTCATTCACTTTCTTACTGTTCAGCCCTGGAACGCTACTGCGAAAGTTGACTGTATTATACTCATCTGTTGGTAAGTTGTATATAGAAGCCTATACTTACTTGGTTGAAACGTAATTTACTGTTTGAATGCTGGTGTTGCTCTTCAGTATTTGATAATTCACTATATAGTCTATATGTTTCTTTTATCTATAGTGTATTTATTATCACTCATTCTTGAGGAAGTTTGAGAAGCTTTTGCACTAAGTTGCTTTATTATGGCTGAAGGTACAAATCAAAGGAGCTACATTGCTCTTTTATTCTAGGACTGAATAAAGCTTTGAAGTGGTAAGAACAAGAATATTGGAGATGATAATTAGCAGCTTTCTTGAATTACCAAAGAAAGTTCTAGATATTTCAGTTTTGAAGGTTGATGAGCAAGCTGTGATAACAACACCTGAATCTTACTCACAATTTTATAGACAGGACCTACTCTAATGAAAATAGTTACCATCTGTTCTTTAGACATCCTTGTCTATACTATAAATCCCATACCTTCCCACAACTATGCCTTGCTTGTATTCCTTCCTTATTCTCTGTTGGTCAATACCCTTTTAAGTCCCATTTCTCCTAGAAATATTACCAAAGCAACTACTTCCCCCTATTTCCTTAACTAAAGGTCCTATTTCCTTTTTTTTGCCTTTTTTTTCCTGTTGTTTACTTGGCTTTAATGGGTTTCTTTGGTCATATATGAGTTTTAAATTATTTAAAAGTAATTCAAATGAAATGGGCATTTTTGTCATCCAAAGGGATCCTGAAGTGAAAAAAGAAAAGAGTAAAGCACAGAATTGGTTTGGTGGTTTTTAGCTATGATCCTTATTGTTTTGAAAGTACTCTTTTCTTGTCAAGCAGTTTAAAGTCTTTGCTTTCAGTGAGGCTTCTGAAAGAAGTGTAATTAGTCCAAAACCAGCATCTACAGCATGTTTTTTTAAAGAGCTACAATGTCAAGATAACTCCAAGAGGCATGTCATGCAGATGAACTGAGAGGCATGTAGAAACTTTAAAACAAGAGTGCTCATGTTGGAAGTTGCTCACATTTGACGTCCTTTTAGCAGATCTGTGATTCATGAGGGAATGCATAATATGTGTCTGTTATCCTTATATGAGGAATTTCACAGAAACTCCTCAAGTAAAGATTTGTTTCGCATCTCTCTTGTGAATTACTTCTATTGAAGTCTGGGTATTTAAATCATTCTTAGTAACTTATTAAATTATTTTAACAGATCATTTGAATCACAATTTACATGAGTTAAAAGGCATTTTTGTTATAATTTTATGAGAGATGCTATATTATATTGTCAACTTTGGAACAATCCCAGACTTCTCTATACATCTCCTTCACACTTGCAGCTACTCACATTTATAAGATGGCTGGAGTTTTAAGACATAATTCCAGCCTGCTGACAATTGTGGAAGACATTAACTCTTTAGCAAAGGCTTGTGCATATGAAGTAAATAAGCCACACCCCTATTTTTCACACTTCTTATATGGAAGCATCACCTTACATGCATACATTTTATGAGTGACTAAGGACAACAGCTAAAAATATCAAGCTATGTATTTACAGTCACAGATTGTCACCCCAGTCACTGTTGTTTGACCATATATATTTAGGTATGAACAGAGTTCTTTACAGCATTAGGTTTTTACTGTTTTCACCATTTTTCTTTAAGTTGAAAATTACTTTGATGTAATATTAGTAATGTTTTATGTTAGTATTTATGATGGTAGCAGCTACACCAGACAGCACATAAGACCAGTTATTAATGAATTCAATAAATAGAATTGTCAGCTAAGAGATATTACTTAAACATCAAATATTTCAAATAATATGCAAATGCACTTGAGCACTTGCTTTTGATGTAGTCTTGATTTTCCCAGGCTCAAGTAATTTTTTCACCTTCTTACCTAAGTATTCCTTGCAAAGCAACCCAGGGTGTTGTCAGAACTTTTCTGCTTCAGTGTTCAATTTGAATTGCCTTTATACGGTGAAGATTTTAAAAGATTTGAGATGCAGGTCTTCCAGTCTGCACTCTGCTCCTTCCCACTGGTTTTTTCATATATTGCCTAAACCAGATATATCTTCTCTGCTAAGCCAGCCAATTTTTCATCTGGACAACACTAAGAATTTGGCTTTTCCTTAGGAAAAGGTTAAAGAGATACAAAGCATCATAAGGTACAAAATACACTGAACTGCACATTACTGGGAATACAGCCAGAAAAGCAAGGTGATGAAAAGCAGGGAAACAGAATTAAACTACCAGTAAGAAGTGAAAATGCTAAATATGGGTGGTACTTGCTATAAATGAGTCACTGCTAATGAGACAGTTTTCATCTAGCAGCATTCTCTTCCCCAAACACCACAGTCCATATTCTACAATAGGTTTGTACCAATCCTCCATCTATCATGTCTTCCGTTTACAAGTTTTCTTCAATCTAGATATTTTTAACTTTCTATTTATTTAAGACAGCACATTCCATCTCACTTTCTGCATTGCTCTATGTTAAGACTCTCAGAAGAAGACTAAATCATGGCTGGGAATTGAAAAAAAAAGGAACAATGGTCTAAGATTTGTTGTTATTTTTGCCAGGTTTTATTTTCCTAAGGTAAGATCTATGCCCATGGGCCAGCACAACAACTACAATACCTTTCCTTTCAGAAAAACGCATCCTTTACACTGTTTGCAGCACTGAAGTTCCCTTTAACACGAAAGATATACAATGGGTGAACATCTCAGACTGCTCATTTATGTACCTCGGTTACATTACATGTGCCAAAGTCCAAATAAGCGATTGATCTATAGCACTCTTAAGTGCTGACATTTTTTTCCCCAACAAAGTTTCTTAACTGTTCATGCAGAAACATTGCCTGATAAACAATGCACGTTCAACCTACTAAAGATATCTTATGTTTTCAGCTTGAAATACAGAAGTGCATTATTTGCCTTGAGCAACCTGATCCAGTGAGGAGGTGTCCCTGCCTATGGCAGGAGGGGTTGGGATCAGATGATCTGTAAGGTCCATTCCAACCCTTAAATTCTATGATTCTATGAATCTATGAGTTAGTAAATTGTTACATTTTTCTCCAAAGTCAAATAAAATTTGAAAAATATTAACAAAGCTAAGAAAAATTCTGTGTATCTGACACATACTGTTGCCATTCTTGCCTTAAAAATATTATTTAAGGAAAAAACTCTGCTTATTCTTGCTGCCAAAATCTGTCACCTACATCTGTTTAGGTCTATTGATATCACTCAGTAAACCAATGTATTTTACTGCTACCAAATATAGTGAAAGATGTACAGTTCTGATTTTTGAACTTGCATCTTTTAGGACTTACATCTGCTTAAATGTATTAGCCTCTGGAATACTAGGAAATGAAGAGACTAGGACATCTGCTTAAATGTATTTGCCTCTGGAATACTAGGAAATGAAGAGAGACTCTAGCCATGTTCTCTTGTTGCATTTTACACAAGAAATTTATTTACACAAGAAAAAAGAGTAACATCCTTAGAAAATGATTTGCAACTATCAATAGATATTTACACAAGAAAAAAGAGTAACATCTGCGGAGACCTTTCTTGCATAACTCTGCAATAAAGAAGTGCTTCAAATATTTACAGAATTAGTGCATAACTGAGAAATTGAGAACATACTGCTGCTACTTACTAAGAGGCAACTGGACTATTCAAATATGGCCATAACAGTAATAAATAATCATGTATTAGTGCTTTATATCCTCAAAGCTCCTTACAAATATTCATTATGTTTCTGAAACAGTAAACAAGGAATAGTCACTTAGACTTACCCACATTTAACCTGCCTGTGACTTCCCCATTTGAATTGCGAGCATTCACAGTCACATTGTGAGTAGACTGAAGAAGCAGTGATGAGTCCTGAAATATGCAGAAAGCAAAAGGTATGTTAGGCAGAACAAATAGAATTGCTCACAAATTTAAAAATTTAGTCTAGTGTTGATATCAACTCAGTCACCAAAAGATCTTTTCAGCTACATAACTATCCACAGATGTCAACAAATTATGTGGGCAGGTATTTTTGATTACTTCAACTGTATCAGATTTAAAATTAGAAAAAATATAGGGAATATTTCAGGTGAACAAAATCTGTGTTACTGGACCAATGAACAAGGCTGCTAATGTTTTATCTTTTGGAAAATGTACTTAAATACTATATTTGCTACCTTTCAATACATAATTGAGACTCCTAGAAGACAGCCATTTAATGGAAGTGTGAGTACTCCACTATGTGAATTCACACTGTTGCATTGACTTGGTGAGAAGCATGTTTATGCATACTGCTTCCTTAATGGACCATGCAGCTTGTAGACTGTAGCTTAATTTTGGCACCTGGCACTGACTCTCCTGGCAAGGAATCTCTGACAGTGAGTGGTGGAGAAAGTAGCAGGTTGTTGAGATCAATGCTGACCTTAATAGATGACAGTAACGATAAGACTGTTAGTCTAAATTAAATTGTCCCCCAGTCCATCACTCTGAAGGATGACAGAAGTATATCAGTGGAATTAACTGCATCACCCACTTGTCCACATCCCTGAATCATGACTTGAACTGGGACATTTGCTGAACAATCATGCCTACCCATCATTCTGTGCTACTTAAGGAAGGCAGGGTATGCCAAACAGGTGTAATTGGTATCTTCATTCATCCCAAGCACACCTCACCACAGTCCAGACTAGCTATGGTAGGCAATTCAAAACTTCATATCATTCTTAGACTGCAGCCAGTGTGGAATTACTTCATCAACACCAAAATATCCCATTGTGTTTACTCTTGGCTATCTGCCCACTATGCCCATCAGAATAGATATACAAGCAGTAACGAAACCAGTTCATGGCAAAAGACCTGGCAAAGAGCATTTGGAAGTATCCTAAAACTTTGTAAGGAAGGCACAGAATGGGTTCTTCTTAAGTTTTTATTTAAAATAATTAAATTTACACCTGAATTTTGTTTAAATGCAGATGATTTTCAGGGGGATCATAGTGGCCACTGTCTCTACTTGACTTTTAGTATCAGAACATTATCTTGGGACAGAAAGTCTGATCACACTCATCTGGATCACCAAATTGTAGATACACTGGTAGACTTAAATGGTGGGGAGACAGTTTTCTGTAGTAATGGTGCTTTCATATTAACGCATAATTTGTGTCTAAAGGACAAGAACTCAGTAACTGATGAGTGCCTAAGCAGATCTCAGTTGCCAAAGTATCAGGGAATACATGATATGGAGAGGGTATTAGCAAGCTGCCTGCTTGTGCCCTCAGAGCAGATACTAATTCCTAGATGAACGAGTTTCTTACTATTGGAATGTTTTAAAGATCAGTCTCTTTCACAGCTATGGCTTCTGGCACTTCCTCTGGACTCATGAGAGTCTATGCAGCGCGTTAAAGGGATATGATCATCCAAGGGCTAGCATCCCCAAGTCATGTGCTCATCATAATTTAATGCCTTGGGTATGACATAACCTGAGAATTTTGAACATGTTTTATGTAATAAATTTTACTACAAACACTTATTTAGTAACAGTGTTAGAAGCAATACACAGTTTGGAGTCAAGCTTACATTTTTTCCAAAAAAACCCCAATAGTATCTTACAGGGTAGGAAGTTAGGCTCCCTCAAAACAACTTCACCAAGTGAGCAAAATAAATGAATCGCATTTTGTAAATTATATCAGGAAAAATTGACAGCTAATAGAATTAACACAAATAATGAAAGGTCTTAGGAAAAAAGTAAGCCATGTGTTAGAATGAATATTAACAGTAGCAAGTCGGTATGAAGTGGAAAAGGAAGGTCAACAAAGATTGGGTTAATATAGAATATTTAAGCAGATGTGCTAAATGACCCACAAATCTAGGCATCTTTATTGCATTTATTTGATTGCCACTGGCTGATTTAAAACAGAAGTTAGTAATTTGTAATATCAAATGTGTGAATAAACTGTATTCTAAACCCATATGTGGTTTTTACTAATTAAAATCTAGTAACATATTTACAAATGCTCATATTTTATCTTTCCATGAAAACGTATTAGCAAAGATGCCCACAACTCTGTGTTGGACTCATAATGAAGGCATAAACTTGTAATAGCCTCCAGAGATGATGCACAGCAAGTAGATTTCCTGCTACATATTTTCTTAGCACTTTGGAGACCTCATTAGGTGAGAAAAGCTGTTAGGAGCCTGCAAGGAGAAAACTATTAAAGCAAGGGAGAAAGCTGCTATGATAGCTGTGAGGGGCTCAATTCTCTAAGACAAACTTAGAAAAAGAAGACATAACAAATAAGTAACTTCATGAGAATAAATATATAGATGGCACCCAGGAGATCAAGCTACAGGCAACTAAGTCTCTAAAAAGTTCAAATATTTTAAAAAGCAAGGAAACAAACAAACAAACAACCTCTGATGAATTATCAATGGCAACGACAAGCAGTAACCTGAAGGCTCTAATTAATGCATCCTACTAATGATCACAATGGGTCATTAGACAGCTAAGCATATATTAGATGCTGCCACACCTCTTTATTCCTATATTGTACTAAATGTATTAAGAGCTGAAAGGAATATTAAGAGACCACAAATGGTAGCTTAACATTGCATAATATTTGGGGGTAGAGGGAGTTCTGGAGTATTAGCTGTGCTGGTCTTAAAAAGTTACATGTTTTACTGGATAAACAACCTCAAGGGAAATTCATTTAAGCACATAAATAGTTTTCCCACTGCCTGTGAGGCAGAAAAGAATATAGCATGAGAAACAAAATGGAAATACAGCTTTACTAATGGAATTTCACTGTCTTAATTAAGAGCTCCGCCTCATACTGGAAATACTTACTGCAGACAGAAAAAGAAAGGCTTAATACAAGTAAAATATGTTGACAATGCATAAACTTTAGTAATCAAATATTTTAAAACTTTGTTCTGATAAATTTATTTACATTTTCTCTTGCTCTAGCAATACAAACACAAAGTTTTTCCCTAGGTTCAGAAAAGTCTCATAGCTGGCTATTTCTTCTTGGATGATTACACATTTGCAGTAATGAAAAAGCCATATTTGAATTTTATTGTCATTGAATAGTATTTTATTCAATGAAATGTTGCACTGGTTGATGATAATGTTCATAAAACAAGGCTTTGTTTTGTGAAAGTTTGCATTACGGACAATAGATTTGAAAAATTTCATTTTGTTGTCAAAAACCAGATATTGCTCTGCAAAAACTTCACTGGATAAAGTTTCAGAGTTCCCCCCGGATAACTAAAAAACAATTCAGAGCCTTTCTTCCTTTTTCTAAACCCAGTACTTTCATGCAAATCTTTCATACTGTTCCCATTCTTGGTGACATTTTAAAGTTAATCTGTTTGATAAATATTTACTTTGATCAAGTATGTTATTCCTTTTTTGCCTTAACAGCAATAACAACAACAAATGTTTCTGTCTATGTAAACAAGATTAAATCCTAAATCTTTCCATGTAAACTTGTAGACTTTTTATATGTAAATATATAAACATAGTGTAACTTTTCCAGTGGGATCTACTAATTTTAGAGATTGGAAATATTCTGTAATGGATAAAAAAACAAAACAAGAAGTTTCATAGGGAGGCCTGCATTAAAAAAATAATCCCAGTAAAAATCATGAAAAACTTTCCACACACTCTTAACGTTTTAACATTACTTATATACAGTGACCTTTATAATTCCTTTTTGAGCTACTTCCTATCACCTGTCTAAGAGAAATATGTTAATTATGATATAGCACCAAAATATTGACCTTGTACAGTATGCAGAAGTATATGCGTATACACATATACGTTCACATATATATATATTCCATGGCAGATGCCTGGACTTTGCCTAAATTCAGCTGTTCAGAAGTACATTAATTTTACTTAGCATTATTGAAAGATTATCTGCTTACCACTCTAGAATGGATTTCTTTGGCATAAAGAGGGAATAAGAATTCTGATTCCCCTTCCAGTCGAAGGCCTTCTTTTGTAACACGCAGGTGTCCCATTCCAGTCTGAGGAGAAGATGCAAGAATTATGCATATTTTATTATCATTACTGTACTTATTTCTTGTTTTTTTCACAAACTGAACATTCTCAGACCTGCCTGCCTCCAGTCTATTAATAAAGATACCCACAGTAATGCATTTACAGTTTTGAGAATCCCTTATTTCTTTCAGAAGTTATTTTCCTTGAGAAATTGCAGGTTTCAAGGAAAAATTATTAACCTTGGGATTTTATGGGTTTTTTTGGAGAGGGAATACAGTCATCAACTTCGAAAGAAGTGCATTTGTATCGGCTGTGCTGAAATAGCTTTCATACCTACCTTCTAAAAATGTCACGAACAATAAACTTTTACATACGCGTACTCACATAAAACAAGCCTCATATTAACATCTCAAGGTTTATTCTATCAATAATGTATGTTAAAAAGAATGTAATACTTCTAAGCCCGCTGAAGAGTCAAAGATAAATTTTTATTTGCCTCCATTTTCAGTAATCACTTCTTTCTTTTTATTTGAGTTTTAATTAATTGGTTTAGTTTTTTTCGCGTCTAATTGTAGGTCAAGGCTCTGCCTCTCACCTTATCATGTACTTTATCACCTGCTTCTCACTTTTTGTACCTTCCTCATTCTCTCTTAGTCATTCCTTCCTGATTTTAGCCCAATTGTGCTTTCCAACTGATATTTTATTTCATTCTTCTTACTTTCAAGATTATCACAGAATTGATAATATGAAAAATGAGTGAGGAATTACTTCAGTAATTATATATTTGAGGACTTGTAGGCTTCAGCTCCAAGGTATTTTACAGTTATTTAGCTAATTTGTAAAGGATTCAACCCTTTTCCTGCCATATAAAGTGACAGATAACTTGGCAGAAAAAATTGCAGCCTTACAGCTTGGCCAAATGTGAAAATATTTCAAGACAACTGCCACAAACTACAAGGAGTAGGTGGGAGGAGTAAATCCAAAAAGTATTTCCACTCCAATAATTTTCAGGTTCTCCACATAAGCAGAAGAGATACATAACAGGCCACTGATGAAACATCAATAACCTGTTCACCTAATGAACTATGGTTACTGCTGACAAAAATTATAACTTGAAGAGACTTAAATTGTTTTCAAATATATGTTTTGACTAATAATATTATACATATAATATTA